GCACAGGGCTTTCGAGAGACTCATATATGGCCACAGAGGGTTTGGGGTAATTCATTCACCCACCTGCAAACTGTCAGAGGAGGTTTCTTGGAAAACACACAGTTATCAGTCATCAGAAATCACTTATGTGAGAGAGATGGCTCAGAGAACCTAAATGTATACACAAATCTGGGGATCTTGTTCAGTGTGATTCGGTTCCAGAAGGGTTGAGTGAGCCTGACATTCTGCATTTCTAACCAGCTCCCAGGCAATGCTGATGCTGCCGGTCCCAGAACCACAGTCTGAGCTATGAGGACTTAGAAAGCTGGCAGGGGAGGTGAGACAATGTGGGTGTGAGGGGAGGGGTTTCTAAGAAAATATTATGTAAAAAAGAGAAAATGCAGGAAACTAGTATTTTTACACATTATAGCAAGGTCTAGTACACACCTGTAAAAATGTATTATCCAAGTAATAGCTCTGAGCAAGAAAAAAATAACAAACCAAAATCAATCTACCTCTAGAGCTAGAAAATGCTTTAAAATGGCCCAGTACTTTCTAAAATGATCAAATCAACCACAAAATCATCTAAATGAAAAATGCAGCCAGTGTTTAGACTCTAACTGGGAAGCCCAGAGTGGTATTTACCTCATTTTGGTTCTTTATTTTTACTTGCTATTTCTTCCATGAATTAAAAACCTGGTTAGTGCCTATTTATTCCATCTCCTATTTATTGTAACTTTTAGGAATCTGGATAGGAGAGGAAACTATTTAAAGGAAATAAAGCAACATTTCTGCTGTGTTGGCACATTCCTCTATCTGCTCTCAATCAAATCCTACACCACAGGGTGTCCTGGAATAATAGGGGCTGGGGACAGGTGAAGGGAAGATGAAACCTGGATATACATACGCAAAGTGAAATTACTTCATGACGATGCTGCCTGAATACAATTTGTAAATACATAAATGGAGCTATATGTGATACTGTGAGTGGGTCCAGAAACAAATCAAAAGTTCAAGTTATTGTGATTATTATAATTCAAACATTTGAGAATCTCAGATAATCCTATGATTTGGGGGTTTTTAAGACTGAAGAGTCCAAATCTGAGGATATATGCTGCATTTTCCAAGGTTTCCAACAGCGTTTCATAAGTAATTCATATTTTATTGTTCCATGGGAAATTTCAGATGCATGCAAATTAACAGGATTATATTTACAATGTAAACACATTGTCTGTGAGTAAGAAAAAAATCCCTTACAGTGCTATCAGGGACAGGATTTGAAAGACTACTTTGATCAAGAACTACAGTTAATATTTTCCCTACACAGCAGTCTTCATCTTCTTCCTGACCTACAATGAAACCATGGAAATAATTAGGGTCTATCTTCTGCCAAATGACTTACTAAAGCTGCTCCCTGGGTATCATTTGGGCGTTAAATGGTACGTTTATTCTTTCATGTCACAAGGGTATCATTCATTAAATTACTGCTATAGTCCACTAAATGGATCTATGGTGGAATGAGAGTTTAGAAGAGCAGCTCTTAAAGTATTTAACACTTACATCTAGGTAATGGGTTGTTTACTGGAGGTAAGTCTTGTATTTGTGTTTTTGTTAGTAGTTTGTTCATACCTGCATATTACTCATTCTCACATCAAATAGTCACTCAGCACCCACTGTATGCCACGTACCAGGCCATTTTCTAGGGAACAGAAATAACTATGAGATGCTCCCTGATCTTATGAAGCCTCAGGTAGTATGAGATACAGTCCCATAACAACAAACCATGATGACATAGATGCTATCTTAAAAGAATATAAAGGACTGTGTGGAAGAACAGAGGGTTTTAGAGAGGTGGAGACATTTGGACTGACTGAAAAGAATAGATTTTTCACAGCCAGACTAAGGGATGGCAGGGTACCTCACAGAGAGGGGCAATGTATGTCATGCTGGGAACTGGGGGAACATGAAGCTTTGGGAAAACATGGAACCCTCTGAGTGGAAGGAGTGCATGTGCAGGTGTGAGCTAAGTTTAGAAAAGGAGGTAGTAGAAGAGATTCCTCCTCTGAGAGAGCCTCTCATCTCTTCTGGTTTGGTCTCTTCAAGAGCCTGCCTCAGCCAAAGGGCCTCAGCCAAGTGTAAGGAAATATTGCTGGCCAACTCAGACATTTACAGAACAAGCTCATAAACCTCTTGCTGTCTTCCATGTGCATCTTCCTCTGCCTCTCTTGGTTGTCCTTTAACTGACTTTTAGCAAGTCTCAATACTTTGCTGCCTCCAGTTTGGGTCTCTGGTTCCTGATCCCTGACTGCATCATGGGCCCTGGGCTTTCCAGCAGCTAACAGCTAGGCATGCAACACCTGCTAAAGTGGGCCAGGGACCTTGCAATGGTGCCAAAAGACAGCTCTCACTGGTCAGATGCTAGCAAGGATCAAGTTTGTGTTTCAGAAGGAAAAAAAAAATAGTCTGGGGGTAGAAGGGCAGGGGGTAAAGAGCAAAGTATGAGGATAAGACTATGAAAAAGGCCACAGAAGAGGAAGGCTTGAATGAAGTTGTGGCAATGATGAAGAGGAAGGGAAAGGGTTTGGAAATAAGAATTGACAGGAACTACGTACTGGAAGCTCCGCTGAAACCTGTCCACCGTGGGTGGCATAGTCTCCAGCCTCATAGCAATAAGTAAGCCACCAAAGTATGACAAACTGACAGACAAGTAGTGGAAGACAGCTACCTAGCCAACAGACTGGAAAAGATACATATTTGTACCCATTTCACAGAAAGGTGATCCAAGAGAATGTGGAAATTATTGAGCAATATCATTAATATCCTCAGAAGGAAGATTGGGCAGTCTACTTCTGTAGTGATACTATCTCAGAAACCCAAGGAGTGGTCACTATGAGTCAGATCCCACTTGACTGCAGTGAGTTTGTTTTTTTGGTTTTATCATTAATATCACACATAGTAATACCTTTCTGAAGATCATTCAAAATGACTGCAACAACATATTGATAGGGAGCTTCCAGAAATGCAAGGTGGATTCAGAAGAGGATGTGGAATGAGGGCTATCATTACTGATGTCAGCTGGATCTTGGCTGAAAGCAAAAAACACCACAAAGATGTTTACTTGTGTTCTATTGACTATGCAAAAACATTCACCTGTATGGATCATAACAAATTACGGATAACAGTGACAAGAATAGGAATTCCAGAACACTTAATGGTGCTCAAGAGGAACCTGTACATATACCAGGAGGCTGTCATTTGAACAGAGCAAGGGGATATTGCATGGCTTAAGATCAGGAAGGGAGTGTGTCAGGACTGTATCTTTTCACCATACTTGTTCAATCTGTATGCTGAACAAATAATCTGAGAAGCTGGACTAGATGAAGAACGTGGCATCAGGATTAACAACCTGTGATATGCAGATGATACAACCTGTCTTCCTAAAAGTGAGGATGCCTTGAAGCACTTACTGATGAAGATTAAAGACTATAGTCTGCAGAATAGATTATACCTCAACATAAAGAAAACGAAAATCCCCACAACTGGACCAATAAGCAGCATCGTGATAAATGAAGAAAAGATTGACATTGTTAAAGATTTCATATTACTTGATTCCACAATCAACACCAATGGAAGCAGCAGTCAAGTAATCAGACAACATATCGCACTGGGCAAATCTGCTGCAAAAGAAGTGGTGACAAGCAGAGGTGTCTCTTTGAAGACTCAAACCCTCAAACTCACTGCCGTTGAGTCGGATCCAACTCACAGAGACCTCTCCCTGGGTTTCCGAGGCAGTATCACTATGGAAGTAGATTGCCCAACCTTCCTTCTGAGGAGTGGCTGGTGGGTTTCAAACACCAGCCTTCTGGTTAGCAGTCAAATGCCTTAGGCTTTGAAGACTAAGGTACATTTCATATGCATGTGAAAGCTGGACGATGAATAAGAAAGACTGATGAAGAGTTGATGTCTTTGAATTGTGGTGTTGGTAAAGAATACTGAAAGCACTTTGCAGTACCAGAAGAACTAACGAATCTGTCCTAGAAGAAGTACAGCCAGAATGCTCCCTGGAAGCAAGAATGGCCAGACTTCATCTCACCTACTTTGGCCATGTTGTCAGAAGGAATCATTCCCTGGAGAAGGATATCATTCTTGGTAAAGTGGAAGGTTAGCAAAAAAAGGATAAGGCCTTGAATAGTGTCTGCAAAGATGGGGCTCAGGTATGGCAAAGACTGTGAGGCTGGTGCAGGACCAGGCAGTGTTTCGTTCTGTTGTACATAGGGTTGCTATGAGTCAGAGCCAACTTGATGACACCTAACAACAACAACAGATATTGGAGGGTTGGTGACAAGGACCAGGGAAGAGTCAGGGTTGACTTCTAAGATTCAGGCATAACTACATCAAGTTAAGCTGCAGCTGTGTGGTCCAGGGACCACCAATCATGATGTCATGAATTGAGTTATATCTTGAAAAGAGATGTTGAAGTCCTAAATCTCTGTACCCATGAACGTGACACTGTTTGAAAATAGGGCTTTTTTTTAATGAGATCATCCTGGTGAAAGGTGGGTCCTAAACCTAATCTTTTCTGAATGGTGCCTTATAAAAAGGGAAAACACTGAGAGAGACACATACTGGGAAAGCAGATCATGTGAAGTTCCAGTTACAAACCAAGAATTCCAGGGGCTACAGAAAAGGAAGGATCTTCGCCTAGAGTTGATACCCTGATTTGAATTTCTAGCCTCCAAAATAACTTCCTATTCATTAAAGCCATCTACTTGTATTGTTTTTGATACAGCAGCCCTAGGAAATCAAGACACACCATGAGGCAACTGACAAGAGTAAGGAAAGAGATGTTGATATATATCCATGTTCCATAGTCAGTTTCCAAGAATTACCTATAATATCATCGATCTACTTTACATCCATAGAAAAACAGAAAGTTCCTTTGTTATATGCATGAGGAAGCCAACAAGCAAATGTAGCGTCTTTAGTTGAAATATTAAAGAGGCAAGATGGCTTAAACAAACCTTTTCTCTTGATTTTACGACTGCTGTCAGGTGCTTCAATACAAGAGGTCCATCTAAACTGTATGTGAAGTTAACATTATCAAAGACAATCGTGCCTTGGTGGGGCCATGCTGGTGGTGGGCGTTTCTGGTATTCCCAAGGTGCTTCTTTTTCAAGGTTTGTATATTCAATCACTCTTTCTACTGAAATCATCTGAAAGAGATATGACATCCACATGTGTTAGGAATGGAGGGCATTGTGTTTGAATTTTAAGAGACTGTAAATCAAATCTTCCTTTATTCACAGCAGGTTAAAAATAACTCAGGTCTTATATCCTCAGGAGAGGAACAGGAGATTGATGAGGACTTTGATGATATACATACTTGTTCAACAATTTATAATACTTTCACTTATGGTTACTTCCTTTGATATTACATTAAAAGAATTATAGAAATTAATGCTAATGTTTTATTTACTCACTTTTCTCATCTGAATAAAAAGCAAAACGATCATATAAAAGAAAAATAATAATTTTACTACAGAAGGCCCATCTGTAACATTCAAGTAAACTAGATGATCATCAAACCTCACTTGATTAATTAGCCATTTTCTAATGAAAATATTTCATTTTCACTGTTCTCCCTTTAGTAGAAGATGCTAACACTCAATAGAGGAGATAATTTATACACTGACTACCTACCCACTGCCATCAAGTGGATTCTAACTCACAGTGATCCTACAGGACAGAGTAGAACTGCCCCATAGTGTTTCCAAGGCTGTAATCTTTACTGAAGCGGCATGCCACATCTTTCTCCTGTGTAGTAGCTGGGGGGTTCGAACCAGACCTCCTGGTTAGCAGCTGAGTGCTTTAACCACAGAGCCATCAGGGATCCTTACACACTAAGCCTTAACCATAACCTGGCACCCTGGTGGGCTGTCCTACCAAGAAAGGACAGCAGCAAATTCAAGTCATCCTGCCTTCTGTATGACACATAGAAAAATAAATCCTAAAATGCCAGGGCAGTGGGGAGATCTCTATTAATTAAACAGACAACCTCACAATACGAATTCTTCTTTTATTGGGAATGAGGAATTACCTACAAGAAACAAAAATAAACAGGCCTCTAAGAAATTAGCTTATGTCCTCTCTAGTATTTCAGAACCTCCCTCCTACCGAGACATTTATTATATTTGAAGACAGCTTGTGATGAATATAAAACCTGCTGACATAGCATACATAAGACTGAGAAAAGATGTATATATTTTATTTTACATTAACTTTAAACAGATGGAGGAAGGATCTAAAAAACTCTGTTAGCTACGATGCAAAAATAACAGTTTTAATATTTTACATAAGAATTGCTTTTATGCCATTTAATGGCAAAGAGACTTGAAAAGGCTAAGAATGTTAAGATAAACATTACCATATTCTCAACTTCGGCGCTTTGTCTAACGCACCACTGGAACATCCCCATGAGCGTGAGGGCATAGGACAAAGCCAGGCCAACCTGCCCAGCATCCAAAGCTAAATGAGGAGGAAGAAGGGGAATAAAGTCAATTTCACTCCTAACCCCAAGCTGGCTCCTTCTGCTATTTTACCAAGAGAACCCCTTTATAATGTTTAAACAATCTGTATATACACACGACAGTAGTTGTACTTTGAATATCTGTTGATGGAGACCATGATGCAATTAAAAAAAAAAAACTATGAATTCAGAGAGACCCTTATATTTATTAATTTATTAATCCCAACAGGATCCAAATACATTTGAAAACCAGTATTGCATATGTGGAGTCCTGGGTGATGCAAATAGGTAACATACTCAGCTGCTAATCAGTTGAAAGGCTGGAGGTTCAAGTCTACCCAGAGGTAGATCTATTTGCGAAGAATCAGTCATTGAAAATTGTAGGGAGCACAGTTCTACTAATACCTCTGGGGTCACCATACGTCAGAGTTCACTCAATAGCAGATGGGTTATATATGTGAAGGATAACGTTATTACTCCGACATTTGTCTTTATGGTCCCAAGGCCCATTCCTTAAGTCCACTTTCTATGTGCAATGCAGCCTCAAGTAAGAAATTACTAAAATCAAGGAGATGAGTTCTAACAGCCAATACTCTTGAATCTAAAATACTACTCTTACTATTCCATTGTTAAATATGTACTTGAGTGTTGTTACTGTGGAATAATAAGGGATGGAGAATTCATGCCATGCATGCCACCACTTGCTCATCTGGTTAGACACACTCTTTGCCGTCGAGACTCTTTCTCAATCTAGTGCTCCAGGCAACTACATCATTAGATAAGCGGAGCCCTAAAGCTGAAACCCTCCCTGGACACAATGCTTAACAGTAAGTTTGGCTCTCTCCCCACAACCACCAGACACTACCAGGAATGTTCAGAATACCAGCTTGCTCTGTGTATGCAGGCCTCCATCTATTCAAAGACAGATAAAAGGAACCCATCAGGACCAAAACGACTCCTCTAAATGGGCCACATTGCTGAATCACATTCAACTTGACACCCTATAAGCACTTTAATGCAATTTAATAGAACCATTATTAGAACCAAGCAGTATATAATATCATACAAGGTGGAAAGAGTTTAATTTAATAACTGTAAACACAGCTATAAATTGTAATCATACCATAAATAGTTACTGACATCTGTACTTACTTGTTGCCAGAATCAGGGACCCAAAAGCAATGACAATGACAAAGATGGCACAGATGGCATCCAGACGCACGGCAAACCATCGGGACGTCGTCAAAAACAAGAACCAAGCCTCTGGATTTATGAAACATAATAGACATAATGAATGTGTAGAATAACCATATTAACTGTACTGAATGCGGGAGAGCATTTTGCTTGGTTGTGCTACAGAAGATTTTTACAGAGTAGGGCAGCAATTTAAAAGCTGGTGCAGAGGTGCACACCCAAGGAACCTCAAGATTCCAGAAAACTAAGTGATAGAAGACAATAATGGTACATATTACATGAAACAATACAGTGGTTTTGTGAAAAGTATGCACTGAAATATTCAACCTAGAGGTTATAAACAGAAACGTATTAAAATACAGAAGCTGGAAAAATGGTCTCCTAAATGCATTTCTTGCAGTACTGGGTCCTGGGGTGAAGCTCACGTCTCACATGGTTGACTATACCCAGTTATTCAATAATGGAGAATGTAGCTTCCCATTTGTTTCTAGCACCTTCCATATTTACCTCAGGGTCCTGAAAGTAGTGGCTACTCCTTAGGAGCCTGTACTAGATGATCATCTTGCTAAAGGAATCTACATGTAGTTTTTAAAGTACCATTTTATCTTCAAAATATATAAAAATACATAAAATGCAGGCCAGGAATTCATATAGAGGAAATTCTGAAATTTCTAAAAGAGACAAACTCTACTGATACAGAGAATTTATATATCAATCTGAAAACTAGAAAACTGATTTCCAGAGTCACTTTTGCCTTCCTGAATGCTGTAACATCATCAAACTATGGCCCGTAGGCCAAGAACAGCCCGCCACCTGTTTTTGCTAATGAAATTTTATTGAAACACAACTACACCCATTGATGAAGTATTATCTATGTCAGCTGTCACATTATAACAGTAGAGTTGAATAGGTGCATCTGAGACAATACCCACTCATGCTCATATTGCCTCAATAATTTATTATCTATCCCTTTACAAAAAAAGTTTTCTGACTCCTGCCCTAAAGGGAGAAAAAGCCACGGGGCACAGTGTAAAACAAACAGATAAACTGGCGGGAGGAAGGAAAGTAGTGGTTTGATTGAGAAAGAGAGAAAGTGCAGACAGAATTCCAAGAGGAGTCAAACCCTAGGGGGAAAGGAAGGAGAGGAAGATGTGCAAAGTGAAGGATGTGGGAGAGGTATATGCCAACAAGGTCACCTGAGGAGGGAGATCAAGCCTAAGATGGCAGCCTATCATTCATCCTGTGAAATCATTTCCAGAGACTTACAGACCTGAATGCAGATCCTGGTGTGCATCAAATAGTTCCTGAAATCTCTCTTCAGCTTTGTATGCTCGGATGGTCCACAGTCCCTGAAGAGAAGATGATAAGTGGGAAAACACTGGACTTCGTGCTGAGGAAGACAAAAAACAGCAAGCTCAGTAATGCCAGATGTATGGAGATCAGCTGCCTCCCAAACTATGTGGTCTCACATCCTACCAAATAACGCAGTCAGAGCTTTGAGCTTTCTGACGGGGAGCCTTTTGAGAAGAAACGGGAGAAGAGACACAGCCCTTCTCCAGTGGACACTCCACATTCACCCTCAAACTCCTGCTCAACCACATTTCACTTTAATGACCTGGAAATGACAGTCTCTGTTTAAACTTACCTTCTACCAAATTCTAATCTAGCTATAATTCTTTCTCTGCTAACTCAAATTCAAGGTTCTTTTCAAGCATGATCTCCCTGCTATTATTCAGTGATATCTCTCTGGGCAAAGATAATTAATTGTTCACTAATTTTTGTATCAGTAGCATTTTTTTTTTTTTAAATTCTCCATTGGAGTACTAACTACACTTAACTATAAATAGCTATTTATGTACATCTACCACTTGTCTGTCAGTTTGCCATACTGTGGTGGCTTGGGTGTTGCTATGATGCTGAAAGCTATGCCACTGGTCTTTCAAATACCAGCAAAGTCACCCTTGGTGGGCAGGTTTCAGTGGAGTTTCCAGGCAAAGATAGACTACGAAGAGAGGTCTGGTGATCTACTTCTTAAAAATAGCCAATGAAAACATTATGGATCACAACACAGTATTGTCTGATATAGTGCTAGAAGATGAGTCTCCTAGGTTGGAAGGAACCCAAAATACACAGTGGCCACATCAATGGACTTGAGCATACCAATGATAGCGAAGCAGGGCTTCAGAGAAGAGTGACACAGTTAACAATAACCACCACTTGGGGGAAAAACAAAACAAAACAGGTAATCATCCCAGCCTCCAACTCCAGGGAACCCAAAGACCAAGTCATCTATTTTACCTCATACTCAAGAGTTACAGAGGAATTATTTGGGGGGAAAAAAAAAATTCTTGTTTCTTTCACACCTCCACTAAGAGCTGAGTAAGATGCCAGTATGGGTGAACTTAAGGGCCCACAAAGAAAATTAACCAGTGCAGAAAGAAAGGGGGGGTGGTGGTGCCAAGACTCCAGTATTATGTTACCCACTATACTTTTCATACAAAAGTCTTAGTTGGCTATCAGTTGAACAAGAGAATGAAATGCTGCCCAATCTTGCACCAACCCTAAGGTTGAGGATAAGACCACTGTGATCCAAAGGATTTTTACTGGCAATTTACAGAAGTGTATCACCAAGCCTTTCGTCCCAGTCTGCCTTAGTCTGGTTATTCCACTGAAACCTGTCCAGCATCATAGCAACATACAAGCCTCCAATGACAGATGGGTGGTCATTGCACACAAGGTAGACTGGCTAGCACTCAGACTCAGGTCTGCATGGAAGGTGAGGATTCTACACCGACCCACCAAAATCCTTTATCCTGAAGTAGGTCTATATAACACTGATGACATCAGTAGGCAGTTACAGACAACTATAACCCTATTTCCCAGAACACAGTGGTATTTTCCACAATCCTGGGACCCTTTGGGACATACTCCACCATGATTGCACATCTCTGAGAAGGGCAGGACATGGAACTAGACACAAAGACCCTGATCTGGCAGCTTCACTGCAGGTTTTAATGCCATGTGAGACCTTTTAGTTAGTATTATGTTTTTTATTCTCTCACGTTCAGGTTTTCTAGCACCTTTGGTAGTGGCCAGGAAGAACTTTACAAGTATCAAGTCAAGTAATACTTGCAAAAAACCAATGGGACAAGTGTTTTTATATCCCTGACAGACAGGAAAATAGACTTGAGGGATTACAAGCACTGCCCAAGGTTAAGTTAACCCAAGTAAATAGAAGACCTGGATGTCAAGCCCAACGCTGTCTTATTCCCAGGTCTGTGCACTTAGTCACAGCCAGTGTCTCAGAGGCAGAATAATCAGTGATCAAGGATTCCTATGTGTCCTAAATGAATTTTTCTCCAGACTTAATAGCCTATGTTTCAAGATCACCAAAATCTTACTCAGCTAGTATCCAACAGCCTTACCTATTACTGATCATCTTATTAAGTACCTTAAGTTGAACAAAGACCCTGAGAATTTGGCATAAGAACTCTTTAAAAGAGCAGACTTTAGGATCTATGATCTGAAAGCAAGTGTGTTAACATACCCATATCCAATGCCCATAGCAGATATTGCTAATTGACCACTGCACACTTAGAGATGTAGCTTCATAATCCAGGCATTGCCAACTGAATCAGGTTGGCTGGCGAAATGAAACTAAATGCCCTCATAGTTTTATGCAGTACTGACCAATGCTACATTAGTTTCTGCATAAATGAGAAAGCACTATGGCCAACTGTAGACTTGTATGATTGCTTAAATGTCAGCCTAAGTTTCCAGAGGAAACCAGACAGTATGATCTGAAAATAAACCTCAGTAGTAGTCCTTCAAAGCAAAGGGATGAAATAGATTTATGTCTTCCTTAAAAAATAATGAGGCCCCTTCTTTCTGTTGATGTCTCCACCCATGGCAATCAACAAGAAAGTTTCCTTCCATATATAAACCTTTCCTAGACCCTCCACAGCAATGAACTAATACTATATTTGTCCTTCTGTGACTGACTTACTTCACTCAGCATAATGTCCTCCAAGTTCATCCATATTATGTGGTGTTTTGCAGACTCTACATTATTCTTTAGTGCTGCACAGCATTCCATTATGTATATGTACCATAGTTTGGTCATCCACTCTTCTGCTATAAATCTTAGAGATAAGTCCCTCACCAGATATGTAATTATCGGCAAATATGAATTTGTTGCTGTCATTTTTGTTATGTGCTTTTTCATGGTGTCGATTTCTTTATTCCATATAATTTTCTATGCTGAGCTCATTTTGTTTATGAATCGTGTTATCACTTCTTCATTGCTTTTGTTTTAGTGTATGCTGAATATTTATGCTGGTCCTCTTTTTTATTTTAATGTGAAGGTTTATCATTTTTCTTTGAGGTTACCCTGTGATTTATAGTTTTCTTCCCAAGTTTAGAACGGTCCATTCTATCGTGTGGGAGCTCTGATAGCATAGTGGCTAAGGCACTTGACTGCTAACCAGAAGGCTGGCGGTTCAAACCCACCAGCCACTCCTCGGAAGGAAGGTTGGGCAATCCTACTTCCGTAGTGATACTGCCTCGGAAACCCAAGGAGGGGTCGCTATGAGTCAGGGCTGACTCAACGGCACATAACAACAAACAACAACAATTCTATCTTGTAGTTGTCTTCACTTCCCTACCATCTAGAAGTTCTGTAATGACACAGTATTTCCCCTCTGTTTGGTCTGTAGTTGTCCTCATTTGTCAATTGATGTCTCTGGTTCCATTTACAATCCTGTAGTTTATTTACTTCTGATACTTCCATAGCTGGGTTGGTTTCTGTGTTATATCATCATGTGTGTTAATGGTCAGTTGTTGGCTGTTGTTGCTTCTCTGTCCAAAGGGCTCCCTTTAGCATCTCTTGTAAGGTTGGTCTGGCTTTAACAAATTCCCTTAATTTCTGCTTATCTGGAAATGTCCCAATTGCACCATCATAGTTGAGAGACAGTTTTGTTGGGTACATAATTCTTGGTTGGAAATTTTTCTCTTTCAGTGTTTTATATATACCATCCCACTGTCTTCTCACCTGCATGGTTTCTGTCAAGAAATCCAAGCTTAGTCTTATTGGTTGCCCCTTGTACGTAACTTTTCGTTTTTCCCATGCTGCTCTCATGATTCTTTCTTTGTCTTTGGTTTTGGTGAGTTTGATGATGATATGTCTTGGTGTTTTTCTTTTGGGTCTATCCTGTTTGAGGTTCGTTGGACTTCCTGAATGGATATATTCTCATCTTTCATCATATCAGGAAAATTCTCTTCTAACAAATCTTCAACAGTTTTCTCTGTGGTTTTATTTGTCTTTTCTTGTTCTGGAAGTCCAATGGCACATTGGTTATTCCTTTAGATGGTATCCCACATGAACCTTAAGCTTTTTTCATTTTGTTTTGACTTTTTTTCTGATTGATCCCTTTCCAAAGAAGTGTTCAGGTATTTGCCTTCAATCTCCCTAAATCCTGTCTTCCATTGATTCAATTCTGTTCCTTCTCCATTCAATGTCTTATCTATTTCCGAAAATTTAGTATTAATCTTGTGGATTTCTTTGTGTAGATTTTGTATCATTTCTAATTTTTCATTTATTTTGTCATTTTGTTCTTATATTGTCTTTCAAAATTGTTCTAGGGTTTTCTCTGTATTTTCTTTGATCTGTCTCTCAATTTGCTGAAGATACCTAAATAGAATTCTTATCAGGGAATTCCAATGCTGCGTCTTCTTCAGGGATGTGTTTGGGTCTGTATCCTGGTCCCTTGTTTCTCCTGCTTTATCTTGCTTCTTTGTGTGGACTGTGATGCTCTGTTGTCTCTGAGGCATTGTGACATTTTTGTGTTTATATTTAATTGGCGATTGTATGTTGGAGTGACTTGCCCACAATTTTTGCTTTGTTTGTATGTTATCTATGCAAGCTGGGTACTGTGCTCCTCTATTCACTAGTTGACAGCACTTATACACTCACCACCTGTCTCCTTTCCTGTTGTCAGCCTCTCATATGTCCCTGCTGACCTTGGCAAACAGTGCCTATTCTTAGGTCCCTGGAATCCAAATGAGGATGCTATCACTTTAAAATCCAAAGTGGTTGCCACTTGTAAGATTAAAAATGGCTGTGCCCTTGGTCACTTTAAATATCTAAAATGGCCACCACTTATAAACATTCAAAATGGGTGCACCTTCGGTTACTTTAAATATTCCAAATGGCTGCCATGTGTAACCAATCAAAATGGTTGCACCCTACAGGCAGCAGAAAGTCAACAGCTCGGGTTGTCTCCCTCCTTGCTGTTTCCCTTCCTATACATAGGCTACCAGCACAGTTGTCCCTGTAGCCCTTGGTGACCAGGGCTGATCTTTAGGTCAATTCTCAGGTCTCAACACCATTTA